TTGGTTGCTTTTAACTTGCACTCTTGCAAATCGCAACATATTAATTTCACTAATCGCAAGTGTGCAGTTTTATCTGTACGTATTAACGGAGAAACCGTTTCAGTAGCAAACATTGCAAAATACCTTGGTATGACGCTAAACACCAAGCTGCGCTAGAAAGAACACGTGAAAAGAACAAAACTTAACTTAAAATTTAATAAGATGTACTGGCTGCTAGGCTGACAATCCCAGTTATCCATATATAACAAACTCCTGATTTATCAGCAAATGCTAAAACCAGTGTGGACATATAGAATACAGTTCTAGGGCTGTGCCAAGAAGGTTCACATAGAAATAATACAAAAGTTTCAAAACAAAATACTGCGATGTGCAATTGATTCAACGTGGTACATGAGGATGGATCGATTTTACTTTTGATCTAAACATCAAAACAGTAATAGTGGATTTTGTTTTTGAAAAGCAGCGGCAACGCCTGCAAATTCATAGAAACGCTGAGGCATCTCGTCTACTTAATACGACTGAGACGACAAGACGGCTGAAGAGAAAGAAACCAGCTGACCTTGTTCCAGATAGAAAAGATATCTCTATACAAAAGAAGTGGACATTGGCAAGTGGACCAATTGTCATACATAAACCGTTAACCAAATTATAATGTGTAACGATATATTCATGCATCGTTTCATGGACAGCGTTCATCTGCTGGACAAAAACATAAGCGCATTTCTTAATATTTCTGCGTTTAATTAATTATGGCCTACAAGCCATACAGGACATTGTTACGACGGAGATATTCGAACTTAGCTTCGAATTATATTATACCGACAAACAAGTTGTTTATTATTTATTTTGTTATTCCGATTATTAGGGTAAAATAATACTCACGGATCAATCGGAAATTCCCTGAAATTGACCGAATTATCGATCCGCGGAGTATAAAAAAATCCGATCGAAATAGACACAGATTCTCGGAATCATCCGCAGATTCGCTTCAGCGAAACCGACTCCAATCAGACAGAGAATCCGCTGAGAAGAGGTTACGAGTACGCAATCCCAGCCAGGAGATATTTTTTTTGTTTAAAGAGGAGGAAATCTTCCAAAAATCTCCAGTGGACGAGCCGGGGAGTGTGGGATTCAAGTGAGAAGCACGTTGGACGAAAAGCACCTCATCTTGCCTATTAAAACCTCCTCTATTACCCTCACGATCGTTATTGGAGGGGACCCTGGAACGTTGACAAAACAACACATTACAAGTCCTCCTTCGATCAATCGAAGAAAAGTCGCCATAATGTCCAGGTCTAACTAATGCATTTTTACAAACATTTACAGTAGACCTGACTTAAAACATTTACAGTAGACCTGACTTAAAAAGAGAAAGGAGGAAAACTTATAATTAAATTAGAGGGCTGAAACAGGTAACTTCAATCTAATCCTTTCCATGTCTTCTTTCGATTGCACGTTGCGCTTCGCGAAGCGATAAAAGGCTCCCCACCCTTCATCACTTTCAAGAATTGCAGTAATAACATCCCTGATGTTATTGACACGATCTATTACCTCAAAGAAATCCAATCTTTTCTCTACCCACGTGACATATTCGAATAATATGTGATCAGCAATGTTATAGTTTACAAGACATTGGTCACAGAAAGGATGGCAAGCCCTTCCGATTCTATACAGAAATTGATTGAAACTCCCATGTCCCCCCAAAAGTTGGATAGTACAGTACGTAAGAGAACCATGGTTACGTTTAGTCCATCACCCAAAGCTTCTATCACTCTTTGTCCCGGAGTATTGTCATTGACATTTTGGAATAAGTTACTCCCGAATTCACCGAATGCTTTTATATCGGCATCTTCTCGTAAGCGGGCTCTAATCCAATTGGGAATCAAGATTCCAGTTGTTTCTAATATTTCTTTATATTTCTAATATAGGGCATTTAATCTTTTGGCTCTAATCTCAAAGGACATTATACCCGCCAATAAGAATACAGAATTGCCGGATATAGTTCTATAACCAGCGATAACATGAATTGCTAGTTGTCTTAACACTTGAATGATATTTCTAGCTAGAATAGATTTAAAGTTAAAATTTGCTGATAGATAATTCAGAATATCCAGATAGCAACGCCATAGTAAATAATAGACTGCAATACTGATGCGTATAACGTTCTCCTCTTCTGACCGGGCCCCTCAAATTGGGCATTATTCTACTCAATCCGAGAATAAACTTCTTGATTCTAGGAATTATAGTGTAGAAATAATCACTAAAATTAAGTCTTACATCTGTAACGGAGCGCATCCCTCCGCTCCATTCCTCCTCCGAATTTCCCCCGACCGACCATCCGTCGGGGACCGCCGAACAGGCGGAGTGCGGCAGTGGCCGCAAAGAGGCAGCAATGTCTCCTTTTTTAATACATACATACGCGAACTCCGAAGCGTCGGAGAATACCACGAAAATATTATTTCCCCGCACCGCGCCAAGCGTCGCGCCAACAAGTGCTAATGCGTTCCGCACCGCGCCACGCACCGTACCACCGAGCGTGAACGCGTCCCGCGCCGCACCGACGCCGCGCCACGCAACCGAGCGAGCGTCCCGCACCGCGCCACGATCGCGTCCACAAGCGCGCAACCATCCCCGCACCGCGCCATTACCTTCCCACCGAATTCCTTCCCTACCAAAAAACCAATCATCCCCCGATCCTTTTTTTTCGTTCCTGGAGAGAAGGATGCTAACCCCGAGATCGACCAATCCGATCGATCCGACCGAAAATACCGAGGTCGATCTCGGGTATAAAAAGGCATCGCTCTCCACAGGAACTCACTCCTCGTTTACTCCTGTTTCTAGCTCGTTTTCCGAGAGCCCGTCTCAAGGAAGCGAGCATCCGAAACCGGTAGCAAGCCTGAGATTTGTTGGGGCTCTCCCCAACGCGCCAAGTTCGCTTGGCCTGGCCGAAAGCCGTCTCCGTATCTCGCACGGCAAGCCGAGAGTTGCTGACGTCTCCCCAGCGCATCGAGTTCGCTCGACCCGACTCCGCCGGATATCGGGGTTCTCCCCGATACTACCTCTCCCAGCACCAGGGTACACCGTGGTCGACCGAGTACACTCGGCACTGCCACTTTCTTCTCCGCACGCAGCCGGGGCCCTCCCCGGCTGGCCGAGTTCACTCGGCATTCACGCAAACAGACGAGGGGCACACCCCCCGTCAGCCGAGCCCTCTCGGCAGGGAACGGGCACACCCGTTCTCCGATCTAAACGATCCGACGACCTCGCGAAATATCCACCCTCGCGACAACACCCGCGACACGCGTGCACGTTTAAATCGACGCCGATTTAAAGGCCCGCGACGAACACGTACGACACCGCCGCCGCCGCGCGCGCCCCGCGCCACCGAACTACGCGCCGCGATCAGTATGATCAGACTGACCGCTCTCCGCGCGGGAAAGCGAGACCGTTTTACATCTAAGACTATACCTAAATATTTGATTTTAGGCTCAATCGGGATTCTTATATCGTTGATCATAATAAAAGCCGTTCCAGAAGGGAACAGCAGATTACTTCTACAAAACACTGCAGCCTCAGATTTATTCGGCGCAACTGAAAGATCTAATGGCTTTTTATTAATGACGAGAGCTACAGTCAGCTCCGCACGTATACGAGCTATAATAGTTCAAAATTTTCACCAATAACGATAACTAGTGTGTCGTCGGGATAATAGCAGAGTGAACAATCAGAGGGTAAAGGACCCCTAAAAACTGAGTTATATGCGACATTCCACAGAAGTAGTAGGATCGACCCTTGTGGAACGGCGCATCAAACTCCACCAAATTGCCATCTTTATTGACATAAATAATCTTACAGTCTCTCAAATAATCATCAATTATATTGAACAAGTAACTAGGAACTCTAAATTCCTTAAGTGCAGTTAAAATTCTGGACCATGGAATGGAGTTAAACGCTTTTGCAATGTCTAAACTAACGACAACAACGCACTAACTGTCATCAAGTGTACGCTTAATAATTTTTAAAAATTTATTTTTGGCATCGATTGTGGACTTGCCCGATCGAAACCCAAACTGACTAGTGGAAAACAATCTGTTGCTTTCAATAAAGAGAGTTAACTGGTTGACAATGACCTTCTCAAAAACTTTTCCTAACATATTTAATAAACATAAAGACTTATAGGATGAATTGCAACGTTGCCGGTTTATTCGGTTTTTTGAAAAGCACTAATCTAGCTACTTTCCATTCCAGCGGCACACTATGTCTCAACAAGTTCGTGAAGATCGAGCAAATTCAGTCCTGACAAAATTCAAATGCGCGGACCAGAAGATTATAGGTAATTCCATCCTGGCCATTTACTTTTAAGCCTCTGCATGACGAGTTGTAATTCGCCCAAAGTTACTTCAAGAATTTCCTCATTTATTTCAGCTTTTAAAGGCCTGTCTATATCATTAATGGAAACACTGATCGAGCAGTTAAATAAACAAAACTAGGGTCCATGGATTCACATATGGGAGGGGAGAAACTTCTCAATTTCTTTGTGACGATTTTATAAGGAAGCTCCCTTGGATTTGTCTCTATGGACTCTAATAAATCATGTCAAGCCCGATCCTTGGCTTTAATAATGACTTGTTTAAGTTTCTTCTGTGCAAGCTTAAACTCACATTTGAATGGCTCCCAATACATTCGTGAACGTCGCACTCAAGCCCTGGTTAAATGACGCCTCCACATATTGCACGTTCTATGTAATTCATCAATTTCGTTATTTTCCACCAGTAAATCGATTTTTTGGAATAAGTTTGTTTAATCCGAGGCATTGAACAGTTATACGCCTGACGAATCCTAGATATTTTCTTAATGGAAATTACTAGATCTCCTTATTGTGGATCCATTCAAAGGCCTACAATCATGGCAGCAAATCTATCTTTACATAGTTTTTTAGTGCTCCAAGTGATAACTATTGACTGTCTAATCTGCAGTTGATGTATTGGAGTATCCACTTTAAATATAATCATAATGTGATCAATATATAATATTATATAGTTCAATATTATTACAAGCTTCCCAGTGAGATATCGATGAATCCGGGGAGCATCAAGTGAGATCTATTACAGATGATTCCTGAGGATGAACACAAGTAAGTATTCCAGGCTCATTTATTAAAATAAGGCCTAGACTAATAGCTCATTCATACAATGCATCTTCGCGAGCACTATTATACTTATTCCATGAGGTCACGAGATCTTGTATTAAAATCACCGGCTATTATTACCTTACGGTTTTTAATCGGAGCTATATGTAATTTTAAATCATCCAATATGTCATTAAAATATTCCATGTTATGATTAGGTGATATATAAACACTAAACAGATATAAATCATCCATTTTGATTGCAGTGAAGCAAGAGCGTGACACAAAAATTGAAGCTCGACCGGAAAGATGACTCGATATGTAAATTGCCGCATAAGAAGAAGTCTCCGAGGAACCGACCCACTTAAGATCATCAGCCGGAAACCTAGCTAACTCAGAAATAAGTGCCATTTCAGATCCACACTCATAAAAAGTAGCTAGTACGAGATCTTGCATGTATCGTGATCTATTGGCGTTGACTTGTATTATTTTCATTATTAATGTCAGTAGTACCTTCACCAATATTATCCATAGACATAAATGCTTCTGGAGTACATGTAACGTTGGTTGAACTATTTGAAGACTAGTTTCTCAAAGTGATCAAAGGACCAGGAGAACGAGGAGGACAATCTTCACTACCGGCTCGATGATCATGCGGTCTGGCAGCCTTCCGACACAAAGGTCAATCCGGACGTCTCTTACATTCTTTAAGTTTATGCGATGGATCACCACAATTGAAACAAGAACTAGCACGGTCAATTAAGCTAGTATAACGGTGCCAGGTATGTCCCCTGGCGAAACATCTGAAGCATTTGGCAGGCCTAGATAATAATTCTACCTTCACCGAGTTCATCTAATCAAGGTTGATTACCTCAAGGTTTGATATTTTTATTGCTGCGACTAACAAACATTGAAGCCATATGACCCCAAGACCATTCCTAGCAAGTCGAATGGGACCACAGCGAACATCATCAAAAGAACATCTGGTAAGATTCATTATTTTCTGGATTATTTCAACTTTGACAGAATCATCGAACCCGCTCATTCTAATATCCGCCATTTTATTTGTTAATATTAACATTTGAATCATTAATTATTTCTTTCATTTTTCTAGCAAGATCATCAGCCTTAAATCCCGATTAGAATCTTCGCCTCTAACTTCTAGGATGAATCCACCTAATAAGATTCTCATATCCTCAATGTTAAAACCTTTCAACGGTATTTCCTTCCTGGCTTTGCTGAGAATCGACGCGTATGTGGACCCTCCGCTATGACAGTTACAGCTGTTAAATTGGGTGAAATTTGCGCTTACCACCCGAAGTACCAGAGAGAGGCACGTGAAATTGTCTAAAAGGCATTTTCGATAATATTGCATCAAAATTTCTAGGCGCCACTTAACATCAAGTAAGGCTACAACTGCATCATTCTTCTCTTCTTTCTGCCAACCACTTCAGTCCACTCACTAGAAACTCCAGTTGCCACATTAATTTCATGTTTATTTTCAGAAACCGAAGTGTGTTCAACAATAACAGCAGGAGAATCCAAGATCGGAGAGCTACTTCTCACAGGTAATCGGATAGGCTCTGCATGAGAATCTTTTATGTCCAGCAGCGTCCTCCATAGTGTGAGTAAAGTACTGAGCAAACTCATTAATAATTTTATTTTTATCTTTTAGAACAACAACGGATCCAATGAATCCGACACAACAGAAGGAGTCAATAGAAGAAGGCCAACCATTCTATGAGAAGGAGAAATCACCCGACAAGCCCCATCAATTCTGAGAGGGACAGCAAAATCCATAACCCCATGCATACGCTACACACTTCGAATTGCAGAACTCGCAGCTTCAACTAGTATATTGCACTTATGCCTACTAATATCTTCTCTAAGCTTCTTAATAATGTCCTTCAATTCTTTATTCTCTTCCCTAATCCTGTTCATTTCTTCTCGCATTTCAGCCATTTGCTTCCTATAATATTCATTATTTCCATCTCTATTAGTCGAAGCTCTAATCACAAGCTCTTCAACATTACATTTAATAGACACAAAGTTCACCTATATCTTGCCACTAATAATATCTTGCAGTGATTCCGAACCTGTTCTTAGTGCATCAGTCTCCGTAACCCAATGACACGGACCGCAGCTGCTGTCGCCGAAAGATCCTTCAATTCATTGACTCTATCCGCGACTTCATCTTTCTGAACCGGGGTGAGTCTATTTCTATCAGCATCAGCAGGCAAAGATTTCATTTTTCTCTTTCTAGATCGCTTTGTAAACAAAGGAGAATGATCAAACTTCCTAATATTCGATATCAAATGCGTCGCGATTCAATTCCATCTTCATTAGAATCGTCAATGACGATAGAACTGCCTGCAGCAGTATCAATAATACCACATGAGGTAGATGCTTTGTCACGTTCAACAAACAAAGAAAAGTACGTTCTCCTAATGAAGATATGTTTGTTTCAGAACTGTTGACATTCCAAACTAAAACTGCCCAACGGAGGACTCTTTCGTTCGAAATAATTCTAGGATGCACATCCTCTGCAGTCAAGTCAATAGCCACATCAGTTGTTCCCCTACCAGTTGACGAGGCCCCAGCGGCAAGGACAGACCTACCAGGGTCATGATCCTCTCGGGAAGTACTCCCAAGAGGATATTCTCAATTTCATGCCCGTTGCTGGAGGACCGAGATTATATTCTCAATTTCATGCCCGTTGCTGGACGACCGAGTCGGAACCAAGCTAATCCCCCCCCCCTCTGCCATTCCCCAGGTGTCCGAGTCCCTGAGGATGATAAATCCTTCTTCTATTCCATATCCATTCCATATCCATGAGTAATTGGTTTTTTTTACAGAAATTGCTGTCTACTGTCCCGCCATACAACGCAGATTGGGAAATTCTATGCAGTTCATCAACCAAAATAATCCGTCTGGCAGAAAAGAAAAAAAAATATCCAACAGCAGTCATTCATCAACGACTATTACAGCGCGTCTCACAGACAACCCTACAAAAAGCAACCAAACGCAAGAAAACTGCTAAGGCTAGGAAAGTTAAATGAATATAAGAATACCATCAGAAAAGTATCAAGCCAAATCTTATAATTATTAGATAATATATGCAAATATTAATATATACAATATATACAAAAATAAATCTTAAGTCCAAATCTTAAGCCTAAATTTAACATTAATAATAATAAAATTGAAGATAATAATGAAAGAATAATAATAAAAAAAACAAAAGAGAAAAAGAGAGTTAATATTTAATGTGATCAACAAATCAGCATAATAATTGATTGAACAAAGAATTAAAAGAACAGAAGGAAATGAATAAATATATAAATAACTAAACCAAGCACAAAACATAAAGAGATAAAATGATATAAATAAATATACAATATATAATGGAAAGTCAAAAGTTCAACTTAAAGTAAATATATAAATAAATAAGATCAACAAAATCAACAAAATAACAATATATATGTAAAACAAATAAGACTATAATAGATGGTAAAAATATAAATTAATTAAATAAATGGAAAAAACAAATTAAGGATATATAAGACTGGTTTGATTACAAAAACATTTCATTTTTATTATATATGTACTTAAGGCAATCGAAAAGTTAACAAAAGTTATCATCATATCAAATGATCAACAATTCATATTATTATTCAATTACAGAACAGAAATACATATACTATAAAAATAATTATTCATAAAACAGAAATCCTGCTGCAAATATCATCAACGCAGAAAAGAGAAATAACATCTCCAGGAATCAGATAAGGCCAGTGTGACATACATAATTTATAAATATGTTTATATCACACAGAGTAATAATAATATGTAGCCTATTAACATACATATTATATTTTTAGATTTAATTATCACCACTTAACAATTTTATTCAATCAACATCATAAAGGATATAATCAATACTTCATGTTAAAAAACATCTACTTGACACACAGAAGCTATTTAGAACAGATTAAGAAAAAGTAGAAAAATGAATATAATCCTTGAGAGTAAGTATGAGTGCACATTTATTGTTAAATATTATCGCTTATAGTAAAAAGATATGCCTAACTAATGTCATAAAATATCATTTCAGGATCTAGCTTAATATCCAGCATCTAATAAGAAAGCGTCACTTACAGAAAGAAATTGAGAAGCTTTCCCCAAAGAAAAATCGCAAAAGCAACAAGTAACAATAAACAAAGTATACAAAAATTAGCAAAAATGCAATCAGTGTATCTCGGTGATAAAGTACATAATTATATTATTAAGTAAGTAGTTATATTATTAAGTAAGTTAAATATCAAAATCCCCTTGTATACATATAGGTATAATAGCATAATATAGTGTAATACACACTTAAAATATTGTAAATTTATATAAATAAATAAACCGAGAATTCTCACTACAATAATCATAAGATAATAATGTATCCGAGTGTTAAAACATCAATATAATTAAAAGATAAATAAGAGGTCATAATTAAGTAATAAATACGTACATAAGATGAAAGAATAATGTATGTGAATATTAAATAATTAAAAAATAAAATATAAATAAATAACTAAAGATATATAATAAATAGGTGATTCAGTAAGATATAATAAATTAATGTTAATAATAAATAGTACAGTATTTTATTAGTAAGAATCCTGATCAACAGATAACATCATTTATTAGAAACCTACAAAAATAATTTTTAATTGATGGAGCCCAAATCAGAAAAGAAGAGAAACATCATTCTCAAATATAAATTGCAGTAACAAAATTATATAAAAAGCCAAAAATATTAAAACAAATTAATTAATTTAAATTATTAACAAACTTACAATAAGAGCGTTATTGTACAAATTAATTTATCAAGTCAAAAATCAAAATAACAACACATAACAACAGCAAGTAACAATATAAGTATTCAATATCGAGAGACACGGTCGTGGCTCGTCACCAAGTGAGTACTAATGCTTCACGAGCGCGAGACCAGCCATGTCTTTTTATGTGAGCTGACGAATTGCTAATCATCAACATTATCGGATCTCAATAACGACTGAACCGATTAATTTCTGAATAGACGCATTCGATAGCTTAGGTTCGAATTATATCGAAAGTGTTTTTAGTTGTCCTCTCCGTATCATATGAGTGGAGATATTACGATCCAAAATCCGATACCTAAAAATTTACGTTTAAGAAACGTCGTCATTGTAATTATCATTATTATTGTCATCGCCCGCCGGCCCATTATAGTTGCAATTTTCTCCACTACGCGGCGGCGGCGATACGAGTAAAATCCTCAGCGCGAAATATAAATATTGTATAATTTCATGGTCATTCCGCACTCTCTCTGCATATCTTCTCTCTTTCCCTCCTCAACCTCTTCGCATCCGTTCCGCAACTTTTCCGCATACTTCCGCAATCATTCCGCAACCTTCCCGTAATTTTTCTGCATATCTCTGCAACCATCTTACAACTTTTGTATATCTCCGCAATCATTCCGCAACTCTTTCATAATCTTTCCGCATATCTTTGTAGCTATTCCGCAACCATTCTGCAATTCTTCCGCAATTTTTCTGCATATTTTTACAGCTATTTCGCAATACTTCCACAATCTTTCCACATATCACAGCATCTTTTCTACAATTCTCGCAACCTTTTCGCAACCATTCCGTACTCTTCCGCAACCATTTCGCAACTCTTCCACATCTTTCATATCATATTATCGCACTGCAGATCATATTATCGCCTCTTCCGTAACTTTTCCATAATCATTCCACATATTTCCGCGACCACTTGGCAATCCGAAATTCTTTCACACTTTTTTCTACACGTCTCCATAATCATTTCACAATTCTCTTATAATCTTTCCGTAACTCTTCCGCAACCTTTCCGCAACTATTCCGGAACCATTCCGCAATTCTTCCACAATCTTTCCGCATATCTTTGCACTTCTTCCGGAATTCTTCCTTTACAATTTTTCTGCTGCCATTTTGAAAATTTTTATTTTTAATCGTATCACTTCAAATTTAGCATTTATATATGTTCATTTAAAGCTAAGATTTTAGCATAGGGGTGACCTTGGAATTCCAAAAATATTTTCAAGGTCATTTCTTATTTTCTTATTTTCATGATCTGTAGAGGATCGTAAATAACGCAACTTTGTACTTTAATTTTAATTTTTCTGCCATCATTTTGAAAGTTTTTTATTTTTAATCATACGGACTTCATATTCGATATTTATATATGTTTATTGAAGACGAACGTTTTGGTATAAGTGTGATCTTGAAATTCTAAAAATATTTTCAAACTTATTTTAAGTCTATAGACGTAAAGAATTGTCAATAACGCAATTTTATATATTAATTTTTAAATATTTTCGTTCGTCATTTTGAAAATTTTTATTTTTATTCATGATTTATGGAGCTACACAAGTGACGTTAAAGTTTCTAAATATAAAGATATGAAAAAATTTTTATTAATCAAATAGAAAATTATTTAACATAAGAATTAAAATATTTTACAAATATGAACAAGATTTTCCAAAATCAAACTAACATTCAATTTGGAGCTATATGTGCTATAATTCGTCGATTTTATTGAAACTTAATACATACATTTCCTAATAGCACTCGTCTATTCTGAGAACGTTCCACGGGATATCATACAAGTATATTCGAGATATTCTCCGAACATTCGAAATACGTATTGCGATATACTGTGGAATGTATTTAGATCGTTACTATCGCTCATTAATTTAATCCTTAGTATGTATTGGAGAATATCCCGCAGTATGGCCATAGGATGAAAATAGTTTAAAAATAGTATATCATGTAGGGCATGCATAAGAGTATTCCAGACAGCCATATAGATCGTGAAAATCTATAATATACGTGACACCTCTTACGGAAAATAAGTGAAAAAAATGAAAGAAAGTAATGAAACATTTTTTTATCTTGTATCATTGGCATGTTTCTAAAACGATCACCTATCCTTCTTGGAATCCTACTCGATGTTGCTTAACTTCTATAATGGGATAAAACTGCAACTGAAATGATGATATAAGTGAATACGGAAGTTTGATAAAATATGATAGATCCAGTTAATGAATGTTACTATATTGTCATATAAATCTCTTTCAATTTTAAAATTTCGATTGCATATGTAATTTTAAGTAGATAATTTAATTACATATTTAGAGCCGTGAACCTATATTATGTTTAATGAGAATTATTTTTTACAAAAATGTTTACAAATTGTTGTATATATTTTGTTTACTTTTTTATGAATTTGTTAATAATTGTATTAAATATGGCAAATATTTTTTTTATTTATATATTATAATTAATTAAAAAAGATAGTAATTAATAATGTTATTTTATTATTTATTTATTTAAAATGACTTAAAAATGACGATTAAATGACGATATATTTATGATGATAATATTTCGCGACAAAGGTTACGTTTATTTTAAGTCATTATTTAGTACACTGACGTCGAATGACTTCGAAGCATCGTCATAACATTCAGTATAATACAGAATATTCATATGATATCACATACTGTTAAAGTATTATTACGTCCGGTGGACTTCACGATTCTTTTCTTTTTTCGGAGCGAATGGGTGAACTCTGATACAGCATAAAAAAAATCATTCTAAATAAGTAAAATAAAACAATTTTTACGAGCTCAAGCTCCGTGGACGCCAGTCTACCGAACACGTGAACCTCAGACTGTCAAGGGCTCGTTTTTCGAACTAATAAATAAACTATAAAACCCGATTGAATTGCAATTAAGCTAAAATAATATTTGATAGCCATATGTCGAACGCACCCTTAGTGCACTGGCGATGACGGAAAATCATAAATTGTCAAGTAAGTATCTGTTTTCTTTCATGGCAGGTTCCGTACTCGAATAGCTGCCTTCGTCGG